CTTACTGGTCTGCCACATTGAAGCCCGGTCAAAAACCAGTGACAACGAGTGAGGAAGTCGTGACATCAATTGAAACCGAAACTAATGATAAATCGCCAATTACTGTTGAAATACCGGTAGACAATACAATTCAAGAAGTGCCTGTGCAATCTCCAACAGATCAACCAACAACATGGTCTGCGATAGTTCAAACGGAAACAAAGGTATTCCCGTCTCCAGTTATCAAGGAAGAACCTGTAGCTGCGCCCGCCTGGTCCACTGTTGTAATTAGCAAGACAACAGATTTCCAAGATCCCAAGCAACAGCAAGATCTTGAGAATCTTGAAACAACAACTACAACAATGAAAACTACCTATGTAACAACAACAGTGACAACACACAAAGATATTGAAACTACTGAGGAAAAGCCAACATCATATGTATCAACTGTTGTAACAACGCATTCTGCTGACCTGGCAATTGAGCCAGACTCTAAGGAACCATGCACAAAAGCAATTGAAACAAATGTGCCAAGTAGTTTGGATACACTTAGAGAAAATCTAATTCTTGAAGCACAGCAACTATATCCCAAATATAACGTGGTGGAAACTCAGTATGAAATTTTCAAACAGAATAAGCCCAAAGAAATTTCGCCCGAGACTATTACAGAATCGCCGCAGGATGAGACATTTATGAATGATTATGTGATAATTGAACCCGAAGCATTACCCCAAATTAATTCTGAAATTCTTGCATTCAATTTAAGCCTTGACAAAGAAAATCTCTTGCGTCCCCTTCCCAATGATTCCATTGCTCTGTTGCCTCTTTTGAGCATAGAAAAGTCCTTTGATCCTAAAGTAGAAGTTGAGGAAAAGTTGCTTGTGGAACAGCCACAAACTAAAGTTGAGGAAGTAGTTTCTGTAGAAGAGCTAACACAACCCGCAACTGAAGTAGTAACTAAAGTTGATACAGTAACAATAGTCGAACCCAAACCTGAAATTGAAAAAGTAATACTCATTGACAACTCATTGGAGTCGATTGCGACACCTACATCAATAGCTGAGAAACCAAGTGAACTAATTTGGCATCTGAGTCAGGATAGTTTCTTGAACTATAGGCAAATGGCAGATGATGCGTACGGACTACTAATGACGATTACTAAAGACTCGACCAAGACGGATTTAGAAAAAACTCAGGAAACCCAGGACGATAAGCATAAGACTGACATCATTACTGAAACTGTAGTGAAAACGACCACGGTTACAGAATCAAGCAAATTGATAACTGATAACGCTGTAGATAAGACTGAACCAGAAGCATCGTCAATCGTAAGCATTCCTAAGGTAGAAGTGCCAGCAACAGCACCTGTTGGCGGCATTGATGAGTTACGTCTAAATCTTTACCTTGATGACTGGCGAAAACCCAGCATTGATGTGGATTTATACGAGACAAGCGTCGAGGCACCAAAACGTGCGGATGTTGCGGACATTGATACAAAACTAGACAAAGACAAGAAACCCGATGATGTTATCAACCAACCAGACAAAAAGAACGACGACGACAACAACGATAGTGACGACGATGACGACGACGATGATGATGATGGGGAAAAACTGACTGTGCCTGAAATTCGTAAGCCACATGACGATGACGACAAACCGAACGACCGCGATCCTGGTAGTGGTAGCAGTGGCAATGCAACACCCACACCCGAGCACGAAGCAGCTCAGTACGGACAAAATCGCAGCTGCTCATCGGAGTATATGTCAACCGATTTGCCAGGCGGCGTAGGCCACTGGCGGGACCAAAGTACTTATTTGGCTTTAGAAGCCGAACCTCAGGGTAAAATAGAATTGGCACCAACAGTAGAGTCAGAGGATGTTGTTCTAACCGAAACTAAAACCATTGAGCTGGTGCCTTCTGTGCCAGCTGAATCGAACACTCTCACAACAACAGCAACACACGAAACAAGTCCCCCCACCCCATCCATTGATACAAACTCAGCTAACGTTGCAAACGCACTAATCCAATTGGCGAGCGCCACAACTCAGACGCTAAACGCTGCTGCCAATGCGGCAGCAACAGCAACTAAAGCTAAAACTCTGGCAGCGACGAGCGTCATTTTGCCAGTTGCAGCAGCCGTTGTTAATAAGCTAACAACAACAATAACAACGCCAACACCAACACCAACGGCAACACCAACATCGACAACACCAGTGGAGACAACAATCCAGCCCGAGCAGTTGCCTCAACCGCAAGCACTCGCAGCACCAGCTGCTGTTGAGGTGTCATCAACAGTTGATGCTGAAATGGCAACAACAACAACCACAACAAGCGAAGAGCCCAATGAACCGTCAGTGGAAGCAGCAGCTCCTGTTGAGAACACAAATATCGTTAAGCGAACTGTAGTAACAACTACAACGGTGACGACAACAACAACCAGTGAAACGACAGAAGGAGCAGCAGCAGCAGCAGCAGCACCAACCAAACCAACGCCAGACAGCAGCAATACAATGACAACTACAACCACAACAACAACAACAACATCGAGCAACAATTTGCTTGAGCCCCAACAGCAACGCCAGAAGGTGAAAATCACATTGAGCGCTCAGTTATTCATGATTCTAATATTTGCAGCTTTTTTGTGTGGTTTTGGTATTTGTTTATGGCTTTTATACGGCAACCGCTCTAATTGTTGTTGTTGTTGCGGCACTGCCTGTAACAATAGCTGCCAATTGCTGCCACCAGCAACAGGGACACAACCTGGCAATGGCCCACAGTAAGGTCGACCATGAGCTTGCTGTCCCTAGCTATGTTGGAATTTGGCAGCATGGCAAGCGCCCAAACAATAACAAATAACAATAACAAATAATAATAATAATAATAAAAGAGAATACACATTCAAATATCTATCTTATCTATCTACCTTTTTATACTAACGTAA